TTTTTTTTTGCGATCCTGGGGATTGAACTCAGGATCTTGAGTTTGTCAGGCAAGTGCTTATTCTACAACTTTGTTGTTAAGAAGGCTTTGCTTCGTAGCCCAGACTGGCCTTGAACTTAGATCCTCCTCCAGCCTCCTGAGTGCTGGGATTATGGGTGTGTGCCACTACACCTGGGTCAACTTTTTTTAGAATGGCAGGCAGTGATGTGAAGCAGTTTTCAGCTGTACCTCCAAAATAGGTGAAGAACTGATGCAGGTGTGGGTTGAAAAGGCAGCATGGCCCTTCTGGGTGTGGCTGCTGTGATGTTTCCCCAACATGACAGAAGCCAGACCAGGCCAATTATGGAAAAGCTCTTCTGTTGCCACTGAGCTTCCACATAAGGCCTGTGTTTCGGGCAGTCTCTAGGTTTGCAGATAATTGTCACTACATAGGGCATATGGCCCTGGGAGATAGGGACCTTCCCTGGCCGCATTTTGGTGACGTCCTTATCCTCAGGATGCAGGGTACCGCTTCTTCCTCCGGCAAGTGCAGAATCACACGCACAGCCCTCAGTCTTTCAGTCCCTTTGGCGTGGACAACAATTTCAGGTAAGGCACTTTTAAAATTAAAATATTTAAAAGGCTGTGTGTGTGCTTAGGAAGTAAAATTTGGTACAATGAACACTAAAATTTAGCCTGGTAGAGAATATTTGGAAGATGAGTATCACCATGTGTATTTTGCAGGTAATTCCATACCCCCAGTTTTACTTTTGTTAAGTGTTTTAGTAGCTCCTTATTTATGGCCATAAAATTCTGTGATCCTAAACTTCTGTGGCCCTCAATTTCTGTGATCCCATTTAAGTTTGCTGTGCCTCCATGTCATCGTCCTCCTTGAGCTCAGGGTAATAATTGTACCCTGTGGTGTGGGATGCTGAAAAGACGAGGTGAACATAGTCTAAGAGGCCAAGAGTCACACCTGGCATGAAGTGGGGGGTATTGATTGGTGTCTGCTTTTCTTAGTTTAAAAATGCTTTCAAAAGTCTCAACGCTTTAAATCGAGAGTAAAATCACCCCGTGTGAGACGTGGTAGTGCAGAACGGTGCCTTTGCCCCCTCAGGGAGATCTGCCCTCCTGAACAAAGGGCGTCTTGACTGTATGTGGACAGCACGCAGGCAGGCAGCGAGCCTCCAGGGAAAAAGACTTCCACCCCGCAGCATGCCCAGGCCCCTGGGATCGGTGAACGGCGCTGTGGCTCTGCTGTGGGCTCTGCTGCTGTGCACGTGGCTGGGGCTTCCGCGCGCGCAACCCAGGCCCTGCCCGCAGGTCTGCAGGTGCCCTTTCGGCGACGCGGTGCAGTGCTCGGGCAGCCCGGTGGCGCGCATCCCCTCGCTCGACCTGCCTGCCAACCTCACGCACCTCCTGCTCTTCCGCATGGGCCCCGGCGCCCTGCACAACGACAGCTTCCGCGGCATGACCGTCCTGCAGCGCCTGATCCTCACTGACAGCCCCATCTCCGCCGTTGCCCCGGGCACCTTCGACGACCTGATTAAGCTGAAAACCCTGAGACTGTCCCGCAACAACATCCCCCACCTTCCTCGCGCTATCCTGGACCGGACGCTGCTCCTGGAGCAGCTGTTCCTGGACCACAACGCACTGCGAGCCATCGACCCTGACCTGCTCCGGAACCTAGCCAACCTGCAGGAGCTCTTTCTGAGCCACAATCAACTCGCCTCGCTCCCTGTAAGCCTCTTCGCGAACCTGGGGAGGCTGAAAGTGCTGGATCTTTCGGGGAACAACTTGACACACCTGCCCGAGGGACTGTTCGGCGCCCAGGCCGAACTTCAGGAGCTCCTGCTGCACTCGAACCAGCTTGCCTCGCTGGACTCGGGGCTGTTGGACAGCCTGAGCACCCTGGTGCGCCTGGAGCTAGATCGGAACCGCATCCGCTCCATCGCCCCCGGCGCCTTCGACCACCTGGAAAACCTGAGCTCGCTGACACTGGCGAGAAACCGCCTGGAGGTGCTGCCGCCCGGCCTCTTCCTGCACAAGCCCCAGCTGACGCAGCTCACGCTCTTCGAGAATCCGCTGGCAGAGCTCCCCGGGGTGCTTTTCGGGCCCATGCCCGGCCTGCGCGCGCTGAGCATCAACGGCACCCAGCTGCGCGCCCTGCCCCGCGCGCTGCTGCGCAACCTCAGCTCCCTGGAGCGCGTGCGGCTCGACCGCAACCAGCTGGAGGCGCTGCCGGGCGACGTGTTCGCGGCCCTGCCCCGGCTCACCGGGGTGCTGCTGGGCCTCAATCCCTGGCTCTGTGACTGCGGCCTGTGGCCGTTCCTCCAGTGGCTGCGGCAGCACCCGGGCGTAGTGGGCCGGGCCGAGCCCCCGCGGTGCTCCAGCCCGGACCCGCGCGCCGGCCTGGAGTTCTGGGAGCTGCTGGAAGGCGACCCTTGGTGCCCGAGCCCGCGGGGCTCGCCTGCCCGAGCCCCGGGCACTACCGAGGTGCCCTGCATTTCGGAGCCCTGGGGGCGCGTCCAGCCGGTGGCCTCAGGAGAGGAGAGTGGAGCTCTCCGCCTCTTCTCGGCTGTGTACATCCTGCTTCTAGCTGTGCAGGCCATCGTTACCGGAGTCATTGTGTTTGCTATGATTAAGATCGCTGGGCTCTTTCGGAAATTAATCAGGCAGAGGGCGCTATTCTGAGTCTCGGAGAAATTTCGTCATAAATGAAATCGTGAACAGAATACTATAGGGTGTGGTTGGGGAACTGCTCAGCCTCTCCTGGCAGCCTCCTGTGGGTTCCAATTATTTACAGCAGCCAAATATATCTTTTGGTTTTTATTTCCTGAGACTAGGTGCCACCTCATGTTACAAGCATTTTTGGAGCAGCGAACGTGTGACAGGTGTTCATGCGGATAATGATAAGTTTGCTGTCTGGTTTATTGTGCTTGTCTTATGTCCTCATTTATTCTTCCAAATGAAAGCAGTTAAACCCTTGTTGCTTTAATTGGATGTCACAGGCTGCAGAGATGACAGCTATAGGTTCTCTGCTGGCTCTGCCACTTACTAACCACTGGCTCTGGGCAGGACACCTACACACACTCTCCATCCTGGTTTACCTCACCCCTGAAAAGAGATAAAATGTCCCTGCCCCATGAGTCGCTGTGGGCATCACAGGCCACCAAGCCTGTAAAAGCTTAAACCAGTGCCCCACATACAGTAAATACCTACTGCATGATGGCTGGGATTACTAAAGGGATTATTATTGGTATCAGGATTTCTAAAGATGAGTTTGAGTTGGTGTTTCCCTTAGTGTATAAAAGTAAGAGCAAACTTTCTCAAACTGGAGGTTCTATTCAGATCAGTCTCAGGTCTGGTGGGAGATGTCAGCCCAGTATGGTCATGGTCATAGGCCAGAGGAATAGATCCTCTGACACCATCCATTGGCTGGCGAGCAGAAGAGCTGTGTGTGTGTGTGTGTGTGTGTGTGTGTGTGTTTTGCCTTCCAGTCCAAGTTCCAATGTCTCCCCTTACTAAAGCCTTCACATGCCTTGTTTCCAGTTTTTGGATTTTACCTGCAGCTTAAAATCCGGGTGTTTCTGGAAGAATACGGACGCAGTTCTAAGCACTTCACACTCCATCCAGCTTCCAGGCTCTCTAAGCTTCTGTTTCCTGGCCTGCCCAGTGAGGATAATAATGATCTACAAGGGAGGCCTTGTAGCAAGGGCAAAGTGAGAAATGAGATAGTGCACATGAGAGGAAGTTCATGGCTGGGACAACAACCGCCTGTGCTGACAGTTCCTTCAGCGCCCTGGCATTTCTTAGCACCTCACAGTGCTCATTCAGCAAATGGTTGTCTGGCACTGCTTTATGCCAAGCCCCTCTCTAAGTGGAGGGTCAGAGCCGTGGATAAAGCAGGGTGCACAGTGCCAGGGTGAATGCCCTGTCCCCTCCAGCTGTGACCTTGCCCCCATCACCCTGAGACCTTCAAGGACACATGGGGGCAACTTTGCTTGCTGAGCTAAATGTAGAAAATATTTTTTTGCTAAGAGTTTTATTTTTTTGACAGAATAAAACACAGCAGAAAGTTGATGGCTCCTCTAGGTGTCTCTTTCCTGTGTCCATGCTTTTCTTCTCTGCTTGGAGATAATACTTCATAAATGTGGTATTTTATGGCCTGGTGAGTGCTCTTATGTGTCTACAACCCCACTGCACATTTTCAAGTGTTGCATAAATGGTGCTACTATTGCTATAGCACTCTTTTACTTTTTTCTGAGCTAATGTACTTCTCAGATTTATGATGTATTAGGTACTAGTTTATTTATAAACTTAGCACCTACTGAAATTCAGGTGCAGATCTACAAAGCTTGGATTTATCCTACTGTGCCTGGCTTGGGTCTGGCTGCTGTGCTCAGCTCCTTCCTGCTGCCACCCTTGGAAGTGATCCTGTTGTGCCCCTCTGGCAAGATGTTCTGCTCCTGGACTACCTGGGTGGCTTTGTCCCTACTCTCTCTGCAGGGAATGCAGCTGCAGGGTTTCACCCCAGGCCTGTATGCCAGGCCTGAGCTGAGTCTGGAGGGGACAAGGTGGAGTAGGGGGGAGAGGAAGCTCTCCCACACACCGGGCCTGGGCTAGGACTGGATCTGGGGGTCCCCAGAACGTAGCATGGCAGAAATTCTCACTTGGCGGGTGGGGTGGGGGGGTACTGCAGAGTGGTGGCGGGAATCCCAAGGGGGTGGAAGAGGGTCTCACCCACGCCGCGCCTGGGCTCAGAGCGGCAGGTCCCTCCGGCACAGGGTAGCTGGAAGCTCTCCCACACACTCACCGGGGCCTGGGCTAAAAACTTGATTTGGGGATCCCCAGAATGTGGCAGAAATTCTCACTGGGCAGGCGGGGTAGGGGGGTGCTGCGGAGTGGTGGTGGAGGTCCCAAGGGGGTAGAAGAGGGTCTCACCCACGCTGCGCCTGGGCTTGGACAGGCAGGTCCCGCTCACTGGTTTATTTAATAGCTATGTGAATACATCATAATTTACCTGTTCCTCCCCATTGATTTCTTTGTTGATTGATTCCTGTGGATTTTCTTTTCTTTGTATACCCTTCTTCCACTCTTGTTAATGTTTGACTTTTTAGTTTTGGTCAGTCTGAGCAGTATGAAATGGCATCTCGTTTGTGTATTTTCCTGATAAGTAGTAAAGTTAAGATGGTTTGAAAATGTTTATTGAACATTTATATTTCTTTGAATATTGCCCGCTCATATACGTTGACCAATTTATATTGTACTGAATTATAGGATTTTTTCTTACATATGCAGACACTTTTATAGTTTATATACTTTTTTGTTTCTTTTTTTTTTTTTTTTTTGGTTCTGGAAATCCTACTCATGACCTTGTGTTGCCAGGCAGGCCCTGCACCTCTTAGCTAGATCCCCAGTCCTGTAATTTATATAGTTTCTCTAATTTATATACTTCGGAGTTTATATACTTTGGAGCCTAATTATGGTGCCTTGTTTCTCTATTATTATCTTTTGTTGAATAGGAGTGTTTCTTCCCTTCTTTTTGGGTCTGCGTGTCAGACTCGGGACCTTGAGCATGGTAGGTAGGCGCCACCACTACATGAGCTTCCCTTCTAACCCAGTCACATGAAGCACTGTAATAATGTAGCTCATGCTCTCAAAAACCCTTGTGTAAGAAATTTCTTCCTCCTCTCAGATCATAATGGCACTCCTATGTTTTCTTCTGGCAGTTTTGTTTTTACTATTTAAATCATTAGTCCATGCCAGGTTTGTTTTCAGATAGGGTGTGGTGTAGGGAACCAACTGGGATCACTCTGAGTATCATATCCTGTTGTCCCAGGCCATTAGTCAGCTTGTTTCCTCCATTGATTTCTGCTTGCTTGCTTTCTTTCTTTTTCTTTCTTTCTTTCTTTCTTTCTTTCTTTCTTTCTTTCTTTCTTTCTTTCTTTCTTTCTTTCTTTCTTTCTTTCTTTCGAGACAGGGTCTCCCTCTGCAATTCAGGCTGGCCTTGAACTCACTTTGCAGCCCAGGCTGGTCTCTAACTTGCACTGATCCTCCTGCCTCAGCCTCCTGAGTGCTGGGATTACAGCCATGTGCCCCCACACCCGGCTCCTCGTTGATTTCTTAATGCCACTGGGGGAACGTTTCCTGAAGCCTATGTCAGTTTCTAGATTCTGCAGCTGGAACTTGATCTCTTTGTCCAGCCCTATCTGCCAGTCAGGCTTCACCATGGAGCTTTTATAATTTTGTCATGGAGCTCCCTTTCCGCTGATTCTCCCACCTGGGTCCTTTATGCACAGTTTAGAGTCAAGAAGTCCTGCTCTATGGGGAAGCCCTGTTGGGATTTTGCTAGGAATTGAACCAAGTTTATTATTATTACTACTACTATTACTATTATTATTTTGCAGTACCAGGGATTGAACTCTGGACGCTGTGCTTGCCAGGCAGGTGCTTACTCTACTGAGCTATCTCCCCAGCCCTTGAGCCAAGTTTATAAACTAATTTGCAGAAGAATTTGCTTTTCCTTTTTTTTTTTTTTTTTACAATACTCGGTGTTCTCGCCAGTAGATGTGGTTTGCCTTTTCATTTATTCAGGTCTTTTCGAATCTTTTAGAACTTTTTCATAAAAATCTTTTACAGATATTGTTAGATTTATTTCTACTTATTTACTTTCTCTTCTTGACTTCATGTGGCTCGTGCAGATGATATATTTTGTAAAAATAACATTTTGTAATGTTTGTAACATATAGGAATAAAGTTTATTTTTACATACTTATACCTGACAATAACTTTAACAATTGTCTGCTGCTTATTAAAACCTTATGTATATGTTTTGTTTTTCTATTTTAATTTTTTTCTTTTTTCATCAGCAGTGACTATTTCCTTCGCTATCATTTTGATGAGAAAGGTAGGGAAGCACACCCTTAAAATCCTGCCTGTAAATCAAATGTTTTATCAATAGCTGTGGCATTTCCAGTCCTAGTTTGATAAGTGTTTGTTACAATCATGAATTAATGTTAAATTGTACTGATTTTTGTCTTATTAGGATGCTTATGTTTTTTCTTCTTCACTGTGTTAAAAAGGTAAATAAAATTATAGATTTAAATTTTTTTCCTTTTGTTTCTTTTTTTCCTTATGTATTTGGTACAGGGTCTCACTATGCAGCTTGGATTCATAGTAATCCTCCTGTTTCAGCCTCCCCAGCGCTGGAATTGCAGGTTGCATCCCCACGCCCAGTCTCAGTGGCTGGCTCAGCGCCTGGGTGGGGCCAGCGTAGCATGTGGTACTAGGGATGGAACCCAGATCCTTACATTTATTTTTTTCTTTCTTTTTTTTTCTTACACTTATTTTCCAGGCGGTTGCTTAGATCACCGAACTATCTTCCCAGCCCAAATTATAGATTTTTAAAAGTAAATTCATGATTATGTTCCTAAAGTGAGCAGAAGCTCTTCAAATTGCATTGCTGGATTCATCTTGCAAATGTTTGGTTTAAAACTTCAGAGACCTGTTTGTTCCTAACATTTACTTGTAAGTTTTTTAAAAAATAACATCTTTGGTTTGGTATCATCTAACTTTATGAACTAAGTGGAAGTATTCTTTCTGGAATAGTTTATAAAAAGCAGGGTCATCTCTTCCTTGAGTGCCTCTGAAAAGCCTTCTTGGCCTGTTTCGTTACCTGTGCTGTCCTGATG